GAAAAACAGGGACCAAAATCAACTCATTTGAAATGTAGTGTTGGAGGAGATGCTTATATAGTCACCACACATCAGATATGTGAGTTAATAACTTATTGGAGGAGATGCTTATATAGTCACCACACTTAGAGTCACAAGAGCTGTTAATGATATGACATTTTGGAAGTCATTGATCTCTCAGTCAGTCAGAAAGGCAGAAAAATGGGTGCTCAATCAAGTCAAGCCTGATCTCTCACTACAGCAAAAATGAATAAACTGAGGCTATCTTATTATGCACTTATGGAAATGCAGAACTGACAAGAAAAGACAATATTGCTGGGAAAGGTTTGGTGGGGGTACAATAGGCAGAAAGGAAGACCTAACATTAGACAGCCTGCCTCCATAAAGAAAACCACAGCTGTTAGTTTGCAAGACCAGAGCAGAATTTACTGGGAAAGACAGTATTATGTATTAGACTGAAAACAGCAGCCTCAAGAAACAAGGCTATCGATTGTACCTCCTGGAATACTATTTTGGAAAGCTCTTGCTAGTTAGCCTGTTCCACACATGCTCAGTTTATAAGCAAGTCACAATTTTACCTCTTTGGGAATACTTCTTTTTGAAGAATGACATTTCAGCCTGAGCAGCCTGTATTCCTTCCATATAAAAATGGTGTGTGGGGGAGCAGCAGCCATTCAATTCCAAGACAAGAAAGACTGGTCTTTTCTATTGATCTGTTTTAAGTCTGGGAATGTTTAAAGTCACTTGTTTCTGCATGAGGGAAGTGTTAACCTGGTTTTACTTTAAAAAAAAAAATCATAGCTCAAAAACCGTTTACCCAAGCTTCCCCAAATTTTGGCACAGAGCAAGAGCAGGCTGCCTGCTACATATGTGCTAAATTAGGTGCTGATCCAAAGTCCATATATATATATATTGGTTTGGAATGCCCCAATTTTTACATCTGCCTTGTAGAACGCTTATTTATTCTGCCAGCATATTAACAGCACTGTATGCTCATGCAGTGATAATTTACAGATTTTTCACAGACATGTTATGGTTATACAAAGAACATGGAATGGCCCAACATTTGCTCTGGTATTATACTCTCTATTTGGTTAAACCATGCCAGGAAACTTCCCTTACATCTACCATTTTTCAATCAATCAATCTTTATTTTGTGATCTCCGACCCATTAATCTACCATTTTTGAAGAAGCATAGCATCTATGTCCTATAAGGTAACTTCACAACTATCACATTCGTATCATACACATCTTTCAACTCTTCATTCTTCAGGCACCTTCGAAAGAGTCTTATTTCTGTAGTCTGAAACAGAGATACAGTAAGCTATGGTTTCCCCAATATCTTGATGAGGAAATGAAACAATGAAACACATAGGTACCACCACGATGGGAAGGTAACAGTGTTCCGTGTCTAGTCATGCTGGCCACGTGATCACGGAAACTGTCTATGGGCAAACGCTGGCTCTACGGCTTGGAGACGGGGATAAGCATGGCACCCTAGAGTCAGACACGACTGGACTGAATGTCAAGGGAACCTTTACTTTTGTGGAGTCTGAGTGAATCAAGATAAGAGAAAGTGTACCAAGCAGGAAGATCTCCAGCCAGCCAGCACTACATTTGACCCTCGTGGAAGTTATCCACACCAGGAAAATCTTGGGTATCATGGCTCAGTAGTTTGTGTGAGCCTCTCTGTCCCATCCATAATCTTGACAACAAGTATTATTTTTATCTTTTTGTCTCCATGGCTCCAGCCTGGGGAAAAATCAGGCTGTGAACACAAATTCCAGTAAATCCTATGGTCTACTTTCCACAATGAAAGAGGGCTCCCAAAATGAGAAACAGCATCTAGTCTAGAGAACATTAGCTGTCCACTTAGAATGGAATCAAACCAAAATACAGCCATGAACTCCCACACCTATTTTTCACCCACTCCTTCTGATGCAGGTGACATCTCACACCAACAAATGCTCTTCCACGCAACAAAAATCCCACAAGAGAAAACAAGGTGTTGGGGGAATGGTCCTAACCTAAAACTCTCTCTCTCTGTATGTGCCAATTTTATTACCTAAAATATTGTTACTCTGCCTTTCACAATGCACTGTCCCCGTCCTTGTTTATGACTAAAGCAGTGCTGTTTTTACTAGAGGAATAATTTCCATTTGAAGTGTAAGACAATACACCCCAGACCCAGATTTTGTCTTCTCTGTTGTTCCACTATCTAGTTTTTAGATCCTTCACTAATACTGTCAAAAGCCACATTAAGGACAAATAGCTACCATTTTAGGAACATTTATTCCAATATCTTTGCCCCAGAATGAAAACCAGAATTTATGTGCAAATATTGATAGAAATCCTGTAATTTCCATGCTGGAAGTGGGGTATCTGTGTTAGTCTACTGTTACAAAACAGTCCTTTAAACACTAATACAATTTATTTAGCATAAACGTCTGTGATGCATCTGATGAAGTGAGCTGTAGTTCACAAAAGCCTCTGCCAAACGAAACTACAGTGGTGCCTTGCTAGACGATGATAATCTGTTCCACTGAAATCGCTGTTTAGCGAAATCATTGTCTAGTGAAAAGCATTTTCCCATTGGAATGCATTGAAACCTGTTTAATGCGTTCCAGTGGGGAAGAATCGTCGTTGTCTAGCAAAGACTGGCCATCGGAAAGCTGCTTTGTGAACCGCCAATCAGCTGTTTAAATTGCTGTCTTGCGAAGCTTAGGTCCTGAAAACACCCGTTTTGCGAGCGCGGAGGAAGCTGTCACAATCGTCGTCTAGCGAAAATCAGTTTGCGAAGCAGGGACCAAACACTGTCCAGTGAAATTCGCCCATAGGAATCACTGTTTTGCGAATCGCTATAGCGACTGAAAAAAGTCAATGTCTAGTGAAAAAACTGTCATGCAGGGTAACTGTCTAGTGAGGCACCACTGTAGTTTGCTTTGAAGGTGACACAGGACTCTGCTATTTTTTAAAATCTCTGTGTGTTAAATAGTAGATCACTATTTTCCTTTGATAACCACTTTTATGTATCTGGACCAAAAATGCCTCCATTGTATATATTATGCACAATTCAGAACTGATGCAAGAAAACTTTGCTTCTGATCAGATGTACATATGATAAATTTGATGCAGCTGGGGGTGCAGGCAGATTCCCATCCCCAGCAGCCAAGGTTACCTCTGCGTAAGAGAAACACATACAAAGATAGTGTGAATTCGTTTGCAAGTACAAACTACCATTAAGAGGGAAAGGACTTGAATTATGACAGAAGAAACTGTGTGACCACAAATGATTACCAGAGAGGCACTGAGCACCCACCTGCTTCTTAAGCAAAAAAAGAAACAAACAAAAGCAGAATGCAATGTGGAGTGCCTGACTTTTCCCCACACATGTAATAGCAGGAGGACATAAGAAGTTATTTTTTGTTTTTATTATTAAACTTATACCCCACCCATCTAATGTCAAACTGCTGCTCTGGACAGCTAGAAGGAACTAAACAAAGATACAAGAAGAGCCCTTCTGGCTCAGATCAGTGGCCCATTTACGTCAGTAATCTGCTTTCCAAACTTGCTTATGAGTAGACCACACACAGAAGATGAACATAACAGCTCTGAAAATGGAGGCCTGCCACTGTTATTGTAGCTAAAAGCACTAACAGAGCCATCTGTGAGTCTATCTTGAAAAAAAGTTGCTGATCTGAATGCACTCTTACTCAGAGACACTCCGCAACCACATTTCCACTCTAGCTTGAGCTCTAGGAGGACATCTCTAGGAGTAATTTGCTTCTGATGGCACTGAATATGGCATAGAAAGGTTCTAAACCAGCGGTCCCCAACCTTTTTAACACTGCGGACTGGTTGGGGAAGGGGGGGCGCTCGAGCGGGCGTGCATGGACTCGCATGTATGCGTGAAGGGCAGGAGGCACTTGGGGGCACTCACATGTGTACACAAAGGGGCGGGGGCGCTCGCATGCGGACATCTGTCTCCATGACCCAGTCCGGCCCAGGCCGTGGACCGGGGGTTGGGGACCCCTGCTCTAAATAAAGGGTGATGAATCTCACGCTCAAGTCTGTACTTGGGTTTCCACTGCCAGAGGAGTTTCAGCAGATAGCAGCTACAACCTACACACAATTTGTGCTGGCCTGATGCTTGAAACCAGTGGTTGTGCTGAGATAGTCTTCACTGAGTGGCTTACCAGTTGTACATGAAAAATACCGACACCTGAACAGACTATTCCACCAATTACCTCCTGGATAAAAAAGCAGACACACCTCCCATTAGTGATATTTCGGGGAGATAGCACGATGCAAGTTAAGCAAAATGATGTTATTTTCTTTAGAGCACTTGTCATGACTGTGAGCACCTCCTGTGCGCCAGCTGTGGTACTGGAATGATTCCAGATATGGGAAATGACAACCAAAATCCTTGTTCAGTTTCATGTTCACTCTCAGCCTAGCCTCAGCTACAATGCCATTCTTAGCTCCTTGGAGGAGGAACAGGATACATCTCATCATAATTAATAACCTTCCTGAGAGCACTGCCTCCACCAAGAGAAGAGACTGGCTTGCCCTCATTGGTATACATCATACATTTATTAGTGAATATCCCTCTCAAAATCAGCCACAACATTAAAAAAAATAATGATTGCACTACTTGGTCAAGCAGAACTAGCAACTTTCATTTTAAAAAAAGTACAAATCTGTTAAAAATTTCAATCAGTATAATACACATATATATAATACAACATACTAGTTATGTTAAATGCTACAAACCAATATGATTCCAATGGAATGGAAAAACAAAACAAAACACTTTTTTTAAAGAGATTTAAGAACATTTTTCTTCTCTATATATTAGGCTTTTTTTCAAATACATACATGGGAAAATGAGGTAACTGTAAATGTGCAAGTAACAGAG